CTATAATAATTATTTATTTATTTTTATACTACTATTAATTATAATTATTTTTTAATACTTTAAACTCGAAAAAGTAACGCTTGATATTATAGAAATAACTTATCAAAAATAATTTACATTGCATTATCATTATTCGGAAAATTGTTTAACAATATCACCTAATGCGTTACAAAACAAAGTAACGCGTTATTTTCTTTACTTTGCATTAACTAACACTGATATATATATATATATATATATTTATAATATATATTATAAATATTACTTATAGTTAGATCGTGATTGATAATATTTATCGTTAAGTTGTGATAGTATTAGGTATTATTTTATGTTCTTATTTTTAGATCCTTGTCATGCACTTATACTATAGTGTGTCACACTGTGGATGCAGTAGTTTCCATTATTTCATATATACACAATTATTGGTGGTTATAACTATTATATTATAATTGTCTTATTATTTTTAAGGCAAACACATTTTTATCAACCTTCTGTTGGATTGCCTGGACAATTTTTATTTTTTTCAACAGTTTGATTGGAATATTGTTATTTTTTGATGAAAAACACTTTGCAAACATCATGTATGATGACATAATATTCAAATAATGTATTTAATACAGTACTACATTTTGTTTTCAAACACATATACATATAAAAGAATAGACAAGGAATTATTTAAAATATGTGAAGCTAACATGTCTTCTCATAGATATAATATAAATCTAGGGTTTTATCAAGGAGATTATAACTCAGCATAGGCATATAATAGCCTTACATTGTCTGTCTGTCTCTCACACATGATGGCTTCAATGTATTGTACGTAAAACAACTATCATTATTCCTGGTTTATTATTTTACATGTTTATGTTCAAATATGCACAATTAAATTAAATGGGATAACATAACTAGTGTCTATTCTTTGATTGTAATAATATATTATCGCAATAAAAATGTTACTTTGAGTATCTAAAATATTATAAATTCATTATGATTTTCAGATTCCAGACCCGAGATAATGAGTAATCAAATCGAGCACGTCAAGACCATATTAAAGGAGTTAGTCGGCCGCACCAAAGATTTTCAAAACTTAAATGCATTCCGTCTGTTCATATTGCAACATAACACGTACGACGTGGACAAAGCGACCATGTTAATTAAACGAGGTAAGTGGCCATCCAGTAAAGGGGAGGGGTAAAGGGTAGTAATAGGCCGGCGAGGGGGGCAAAGTAGGGCGGAAAAAGTCATATTCTTTTTACTACGTAAAAAATTTAAAATTAAAAAAAAAACTGTTCCTTCTACCTCCGCCGCGGTCGGTCGGTCGGCAGGCCGGCCGTATATACCCACACCGTGTGCGCACACCCATTTCTTCAGTACACCCGTGGTGGATATATATATATTTATGCGATGGGATAGGCGTGACCTGCAGTGTGCCGTGTGCAGTAATGACACCTGGTGGGGGGGCGAAATCAACTCCGACACATTAATACTCGTAAAATATCCGACCACCATTGTTTCGACGCACTGAACATGCTCAATAACACAACATAATAGAACACATTATAACCATGTATAATGTTGTATACCTACCTACAACAGGTATATTATACATGACGTGTACGCACGCGTGTTAGGCGTAGGTATACATAATATGCCTGCCTGACCATCTGACTACTAACATATTATAACAAAGTAAACACGGTCGTACCTATACATAATATACGCGTGCGCGATAACCACAATGTGCAAATCGCATTGTAATAATAATAATTGTATTATTATTATTATTATTATTGTCACGTCGCATTACACCGTGCTATCCGTGTATACGCGACTACGGGATAATAATATTATTATAATAATTCTTTCAGTGATATTATAATATATAGGTAATATTAATATTGTACCACAGCGGTTCTCAAACTTTTTTGTTCGCGGAGCCCTTATATTCCTAAAAAAAATTACGGAGCCCCAAAAATCAGAAATGTCTATATGAGACAACTAAAATTCATAAAAAAAATGATGCCAATTGTAAATGATTTGCTTTTTTTTTTTATTTTCTGTAAAATACGAATATATACAAATTATTCAATTAATATTAATTTAATTAGAAAAAAATAACATAAAATTTTAGCAATTTATTTATTTATTAATGTGATCCGTGATGTTGGCTTTTTTTATTGACCAGTATTTTTATATTTGGCTTGATAGGCGAGAGTTGAATACGCATATCTGCTTCAGCATCCAATTTATTACGATATTTGGTTTTCATTGATGCATATGATGAAAATCCGGTTTCACATAGATATGTTGTTGCGAAAGGAAGAAGTGCTAAGATAGCTTTTTTAGCCAGAGATTGATATTCGTTAGTAATACTGCTACTGCACCAAAAATCTGTTAATGATATTTTATCAAATAAAATTTTTAAAGATGAATCGGTGGTCATTTCAATAAATTCTTCATACTCCGTTATAGATAAATCTTCGGGCTTATCGTTGATTAAAAACGGATTTTTAACCCAATTATATCGTTGGATAAATTCTATGTCTTTACTTTCTGGAAAATATTTTTCTAATGACGATAGTATTTCATTTAAATGTTGTTCAATTTCGCCATATATTTCATCAAAATCTTCAATATTACCATCAATCGATTCTAAATATTCCTTTAACAAAGGAAAACTATCAATTTTATGTTGAGAAAAACACACAGCCCAAAATTTAATTTTTTTTTTAAAGCTCGAATTTTGTCATTTGCCGTGAAAACGGTAGTCATTTTACCTTGTATTGATAAGTTCACTTCATTCAATTTTGTAAAAATATCAGCCAAGTAACTAAGTCGAAATAACCAAATTTTATCACTAAGTCTGAGCTGTAAATTAAATGGGTGATCGGTGAAAAAAACGTACAATTCATTGCGCAATTCGAGTAAGCGTACAAGTGTTTTTCCCCGAGAAAGCCATCTTATTTCGGTATGGTAAAGTAGTGATTTGTGCATACTTCCCATATCTTCACATAAAATTGTGAACAGTCTTGTGCTCAATGGTCGAGATTTTACGAAATTTATAATCTTCACTGCCTCATCAAGTACATTTTTAAGAGGTATTGGCATCTTTTTAATAGCAAGTGCTTGACGATGAAGAATGCAATGACTATTACTACAATTGTTGGTTACTTCTTTAATTCGCGAAACCACGCCAGCAGTTTTTCCAACCATTGCCTTCGCTCCATCTGTACAAATATCAATACAATTATCCCAAGTCAATCCTTCTATTTCAAAAAAATTGTTCAACATATTGAAGATTTCATAACCAGTTGTATAAGTGGACAAAGGTTGACATAATAAGAGGTCTTCTTCAAGAGAAGTTTGATATTTATACCTAACGAATACAAGCAATACAGCTAATCCAGAAACGTCAGTGGATTCGTCCATTTGTAAAGCAAAATTATTACATTTAAGACGAGATATTAATTCCGATTTTATGTGAGTTGATATATCGTTAATTCTACGCCTAACGGTATCGTTGGAAAGCGGAATAGTATTTATTTTTTTGACTGCCTTTTCATCTAACATACAACTAACAATATCAGTCACGCAAGGTTTGATTAGATTTTCGGCAATTGTATGAGCTTTACCAGCCTGAGCTATACGATAACTGACCATATAAGATGCCTCTGTTGCTTTTTCATTTTCCGTTTTTGTTACTTCAGCTATAAAGTTCTTATTCTTTAAAAGTTGATCACGCAATCGAATAAAATAATCAACAGGTTTATCTTTGACGTCTGTATGGTTAGTTTCCAAATGACGGCGCAATTTGGCTGGCACCATTGAACTATTCGGAAAAACTTTACTACATACAACGCACTGTGGATAACTATTTTCATGTATGAAACCAAAAGAGATATAATTTTCGTCATATTTTCTTCTTTTACTTACTGTAGTAATGTACCATATTATATATAGGTGCCTACCTACCTAGCAACAGGTTTCACGCGTATATAGCCAAACATCATCTATATATTTCCTTTTTTTATTTTTTCAATAAGTCACCACAACACTACTGAAGGTTTGTTAGGGAATTAGGCATTAGCTCTCGTGACCAACATTTTCTACATAATATCGATGGTTTTTATAAAAATATTTTGATTTTGTTTAAACTCGGTTTTCAGCAAAAAAAAATTTAATTTTTCCAACAAAATATTTAAGTAAGTACCTATGCAATAGGGGTCAAGTTGGGTTAGAATGAGTGTGGCAATTTTCAAATATTCGGATGTCATTAGATTGTGGTGAAAACTAAAATAATTTAATAATGAAAGGCTAGATATTTACGTGGGTAAGTTAGTAGGTGGGTATAATGTATTTCTAAAATATCTGTTTATGGTCGGTCACATGTAACAATATATATCTAATATGACATAAATGTGCGATAAATAGCATACAATATAAATACCACATTGCTATATAATGAATGCAAGCAATGTTGCGGAGTGGACTGTAACTTTCCGATACTGGTTACTTCGGATACTCAGCTGGTTGATTAGGCTATTATTTTAAATTAATAACTTATACGCAATTGAGCAAATAGAATATTAAATTATTTTATTTTCACTATAATACGGAGCCGACATGTCCCGTTCGCTCTTTTTCGACGACTGCTAAATTAATACCATACAAAATTGATCGAGGGCAAACCCGTCGGCCTCACTAGCCGATAACAATATTATCATTCCGATTATTATAGATATTCGATAGTCGATAACATTTCAACCGATACGTGACATGCCGCCCGCCTTGAAATATTTTTCAAACAACAATAATTATAATACATGAGTACAGGACTAATATCATAACATAATAATGTAACATAATGAATAATAATAGGTATCAAAAAAAAAATTCTATTATTGTTACATATTAATAATAATACGAATAAAAATCATACAAATAATTCATATCAAAAAAAAAAAAATTATTACAAGAATTAATTTATTTTGGCCTTTGATTTAACCATCATTGCCTTCGAATGGTAGTGGACACAGCTTACGCACTGCCCTGGTTAACTCGCCATCAACCGTTTTTACTACCGCGGTACGAATGATGTTGTCACTTCCCCGTGTCACCTCTCTCACTCGTCCGATTTTCCACCGTAAGGGTGGCAGATTATCTTCACTAATTAAAACTACACTGCCGATATCCACTTTGGGTCCCTTTTCACTAGCCCATCTTGACCTCTCTTGCAATTGATGCAAATACTCTCGACTCCAACGTTTCCACAAAATTTGTGAGAATTGTTGAACGCGACGCCAACGGTCTAACCGGTTTACCTGAGTATTTGTTTCATCCCGCTCCGGTATAGACATTAGGGAGTCTCCGATTAGGAAATGAGCTGGAGTGATGTATAATAAATCGGAAGGATCCGAGGACAAAGCCGTTAAAGGCCGAGAATTTAAACACGCTTCTACCCTAGTGAGTATAGTACATAACTCTTCGTACGTTAAATATGATTCGCATAGTACACTTCGTAATAATGATTTCATCGACTTAACCGCTGCCTCCCATAATCCCCCAAAATGAGGCGACCTGGGGGGAATAAACTTCCATTGTACTCCTATTGTAGCCAGACCAGATTGAACGATCTCTTGATGCTTTTGATCTCGGAAAAGTTGATATACCTCTTTTAAATGCCTGTTTGCTCCTACGAAGTTGGTAGCATTGTCGGAATAAATCATAGCACATTTACCCCTGCGATCAAAAAATCGGTTCAACGCATTTAAAAATGACTTTGTGCTCAAATCTATAACGACCTCAATATGCACCGCCTTAGTAGCAAAACATACAAATATACAAACATACCCTTTTGTCGCGGGTGCATTTCGCCTTAAACTCTGTTTTACCATTATAGGCCCCGCGAAATCGACACCGCAGATTTGAAATGCACGAGATTGGATTTCTACACGCTCTCTAGGTAAATTACCCATGATTGGTTGTACCACCGTAGGCTTCATTCGAAAACATTTCACACAACGGTACACGGTCTTTCGAGCTATATTCCGGGCATTAAGTGGCCAATATTGCAGCCGGATCGACGCTAACATTGCTTGTGGACCCCCGTGTAATAACTGTTCATGCTCCCGTTGAAACAACAAATTTGTATACGCGGACTCTTTTGGTAATAATATGGGGTGCTTTTGAAAAATGCCTAATGATAACGCATTTTTTAGCCGCCCGCCCACACGGATTAATCCCTCTTCGTCGAGAAACGGTCTCAATCTGAATAACTTGCTTTTCGACGATACCTGACCATTTTCCGAATTTAATTCATTTAACTCCTTTTCAAAATGGTCCTTTTGTACTTTAATTAAAAGTCGCAAATTTGCATTATGTAAATCAGTTGTTGTTAAAACTCCGCACTCTGATATTTTTGGTTCTTTTATTTTATTATAAAAACGCACGCAATAGGCGGTAATTCGTATTATTTTATTCAACGACGAATACTTGTCAAATATAGAAAATGTATCCGTGGTAATACCGGAAAATTCTATAACGTTTTGTTTTTCAGGAATATTTTTACCATTTAATTGATGGTGTAAAACCTCATTTTTTGCCGGCCAATCCTCTTAATTTAAACACAACCACTTCGGGCCATACCACCATAATTCCATAGCCGCAATTTGTGACGCATCACACCCGCGCGATATTAAGTCAGCTGGATTGTCGTGTGTACTAACGTGGGACCACTCACTAGTGCAGGATAAATCCTGAATCTCTCCAACCCTGTGGGCAACAAATGTTTTCCACCTGGTGGACGGTGACGAGATCCAAGCAAGAGTAATAGTAGAATCCGACCAAAAATATTTTCTCTCTATTTCTAGTCGTAATTTTGGAATTACACGATGCTGCATACGCGCCAATAGTAACGCAGCACATAGTTCTAGTCTCGGTAATGATATCGTTTTTAACGGTGCGACCTTAGATTTGGCGCATATAAGTCTCACTGTATGTGTACCTACTTCGTCCGTACTACGTAAATACAAACATGCGCCATAAGCTTTTGTCGATGCATCAGCAAATCCATGAATTTGGATATTTATGATTTTATGTTTACTAATAATCATACGCGGAATTACTAGTTTATTTAGTCGCGGTAAACATTTTTTGTATTGTAGCCATTCGTCGGATACGTCTTTCGGTAATTGTTTGTCCCAGTTTACACGTAACTGCCATAAATTTTGCATAAATAATTTAGCTACTACTACCACTGGACCTACTAAACCGAGGGGGTCGAATATTGTAGCTATTTCGGACAGTATTTTTCGTTTGTTAATAATTTCCGTATTTTCAACGTATTCGCTTACTTTATACCGTAATACGTCGTCGCTCGGTTCCCAGAATAGGCCTAGTATTTTTGTTATCGCACAATCGAAAACACGCACGTCGTTACCCGCACCTTTGTCACCGACCGACATATTACTATTTATAATACTAGGGTCATTGGACGACCACTTCCGTAGCTCGAAACCCGCTTGCCCTAATATTGACAGTACTTCATGTTTTAACCTTATAGCTTCTTCTTTTGTTGACGCGCCACTCAAATAGTCATCCATATAAAAATCACTTTTTATGGATTCACGTGCACGTAGGTAATCGTTTCCTGTCTCAGCCAATTTTTCTAAACAAGCTGTTGCTATGAAAGCGGCAGGTACTGTACCGTAAGTTAATGTGGTAAGACGATAAACTTGTATTGGCATTTTTGGATCGGCTCGCCACAATATCCGCTGATAGTTACAATCTTCGTTAGCTACTTTAATTTGTCGGTACATTTTTGTAATGTCAGCTGATAAGACATAATTATAGGTACGGAAACGCGCTAATATGTATAATAGTTCGTCCTGCAAAACGGGCCCTTTTAATAATAAATCGTTCAAGCTGTTGCCAGATTCTGTCTTACAGGACGCGTCAAACACCACCCTCACCTTGGTCGTCGTACTATTTTCATTTATAACCGCGTGATGTGGCAAATAGCAACTCTTTTTATTTTCCTCGTCCTCTTTTTCAATTACCCGTTCCATATGGCCTAACGCTTCATATTCGTGCATAAATTGCGTATATGCTTCGCGTAGAGGTATATTATTTCGGAGTCTATTCTCGGTCGCCGCCCATCGCCGCCTTGCGATCTGATACGATTTTCCTAATGCGGACGCGTTATTTGTATTTTTAAACGGCAAACGGATAATAAAACGTCCGGTTTTGTCCCGTTGGACTGTTTTGTCAAAATGACTCCTACACATTTTTTCTTCTAATGTTAAAGGTGGGTCCGTCTCCAATTTTTCTATACGCCAAAACTTTGATACCAAATTTTCAAAATGCGTGTCATTTTCCACACACGCTGTCGTGTGTGCTACGCTACTTACGTTCTTGGTATCCTTACAGCTCTTTCTTAAGACCGGTCCAGCTACCACCCAGCCGAAACGTGTTTCCTGAAATATCGGTCCGGCCACGTGCTGTTTAATTTGGCCGGCACATATTATTTCGAAGAAATGTTTGTTCCCTAGTAACAAATCTATTTTTTGCGGACGTCTAAATAACGGGTCCGCGAGATTTATATCATTGGGAGCTACGCAATTTTCAACCTCATTATTAGGCATACAATGTGTGATCTTTTGTACCACTAGGCAGGTCAATATTAAATTGAAACTATTATATCGCGATGTAATTGAAACATTTACAGCCCGCGTAACAGGTTGTGTTATCCCACCGATACCCATTACTGTGTGCTGCACTTGATACCTTTTTAATCTTATATTTTGAACCATATTTTCGGTAATTAAATTACACTGTGAGCCGGAATCTAACAATATACGGCATTCGACGTTTTCACCGCTAGCATTGTGTATATGCACCACCGCTGTTGATAATAATACCTGTTCGTCATTTTGTACCAGCGTATGCGCACTTATTGATGACGATGCCGCCGACGTGCTCTCTTCTGCATTTTCAGTTGAATTTTTGTTACCTTGTTCTGCATTTTTAATTTGCGCTAAATGCAACAATGTATTATGCGGCTTCGAACACTTGAAGCAATATTTCGCAAAGCACTTTTTATTTTCGTGCTGACGTAAACAAATCTTACATAATTTTAATTCAGTTACTTTATTTATTCTCTCTTTTATCGGTAAAGCAATTAACGTTGGACATTTATAGATAGTGTGCGGCAACTGACACACGTAACACTTTAAACCCGCACTTATCATTAAAGACGAAAATTGATTATTATATTTGTTCGATTTGCCTTGCCCTGTCGATCCGTTACTAATAGCACCTCGCGTACTACTATGTACGTTTTTCGCTGATTCGATGGCTTCTAATATTTTAAATCGATTTTCCAGAAATTGCATTATCTCTGAAACTTCAGCAATCCTGTCTTTAGGGCTGCCCGCCTCCCACTCTTGTAACGTTTTTTTGTCTAATTTGGTACTAATTAAGTGCATTAATAACGGCCCCCAACTTTCCGGTTCTTGCTCTAACGCCTCTAGAGCTCGCATGTGACCTGACAACGCATCGAAAAAATACCTAAGTTTTATTGCCGAGTCACTCTGCAGCGCATCCAAATCAAATATTGCCCGCACATGAGCTTGAATTCGCACTTTTTTATTATTATACCTAGCACACAGAATGCTCCACGCTTTTTCATAATTATTTGCTGTGGTCTCCAAACTTCTTATCGAGTTCAACGCCTCTCCTGATAGCGCTTCGCGCAAATGAAAAAACTTCGATACGGGCAATAGGTCCGGGTGTGTATGTACCAATGCCGTAAATGTATCATAAAACGACGCCCATTCTAAATAATCCCCATTAAAAACAGGTACTTTTAATGCTGCTAATTTCACTTGAGGCGCCATACTGTTTCTCCCTGTACTTCTTTCGCTCGCTATCGCCATACTTCCTCGTTCAGAGGTAGTCTCTTTTACCATTCCTAGTGATACAATTTTATTTGCTTCTACTATAGCCTTAAAGTATAGATCTTCGAACTCCTTACGGTACGCCGTGCTTTCGTTTAAATTCTCCGTCAATTCAAGTGCCGTTTGAATTTGGTCAAATTCATGCCAAACTTCTTCGATTTTTTCCCTTCTTAATGATACTTGATTTGGATCCAATTCTTCACTTTGTAGGTAAGTCAAGAATCTCGTAACCGTGCCTTTTAATTGGCCGCGTCTTATCGTGAGATTTCTCTCGTCAGCCGCCATATCAATTATTCTCGCGTTACTATTTCGGCTGAATATAATATATTATATCTCACTTATTACGTTAAACCTGTTGGCTGTTATCTGCGTTTATTCGACCTGCTTCACATACTACGTACAAGTTTTTTTTTTTTTTTTACTCACTAGGGGAAACCCAAGGAAATTTTACACAGGAATTATTTTTAATCAGAGACTCTTACCTTTATGCCAGACGTTATAAGACAATTTTTCTCGAGAGGCCCAGCTATTGCTCGGGAAATTCGATCGTCGCTGAGGTTATTGATTTGCCCCTTTTTCGCCATACACCATATAAGCTGTAGTACTGTACTTGCCAGCTGCCTGCACGCCCCTATGGATGTATTGTATATTGTTTTCTTGATTTTCGAAATATACGAATATCCGATTTATTTTGATCGCAAAAGCCACGTAACAATTTTACCACGCATATGCGACGCACAATTTTATTTAATCCGCAGTTACTTTGTAACTTTAACTCTCGCACTATACTCGATTAACGCCTCAATACGAATTACGCTTTCCTAATCAACACTGAATATCCGGGTCGATGGACCAAATGTTGCGGAGTGGACTGTAACTTTCCGATACTGGTTACTTCGGATACTCAGCTGGTTGATTAGGCTATTATTTTAAATTAATAACTTATACGCAATTGAGCAAATAGAATATTAAATTATTTTTTTTTCACTATAATACGGAGCCGACATGTCCCGTTCGCTCTTTTTCGACGACTGCTAAATTAATACCATACAAAATTGATCGAGGGCAAACCCGTCGGCCTCACTAGCCGATAACAATATTATCATTCCGATTATTATAGATATTCGATAGTCGATAACATTTCAACCGATACGTGACAAGCAACGCTAGTGGAATTATTTTCAAAATATATATATAATATATTATATAAACCACCGTGCGAGTACGATAATAATTGTGTTGTTATACCTACATTCTAGTGATACAAAATCGTTGTACATTGTGGTTCCGTCAGAGTACGTGTCTACGTTTTATGTAAACATTATATACCGTTTACTGACCACAGGTATTTACTGCAAGGATGTTCGGTGTACGTCGGGTAAATAGATTTTATACGCACTCGTCTGCATGCAGCATATAATAATATATACAATATACATGTATATATTATATATATACATACTTATGGGTATCTACCACGCCACGGGTGTACGTAAAAATGCATTGGATAGGTCAGGGCACTGTGCCCCGCACAGACTTGTAATTATTCCATAATAATTAATATTGTTTTAACCTGATGATTATAATATTATTTCGCAGTCATCGGTCTTGCCGTTTCAACTGCGTTCCTGCTGCGAAATACATTTTAAATACCCGTACCTACCTATACAGTATCTTGCTCGTTCGGTTTAATTACTGTAACGTCGGGCCGATTTATATTATATAATATCATATATTATTATACAGGTCATAGGTGTCGATTTATCAATATGTCTGATGCGATCGAACATACTGTTAACGGACTATCGCACGGACTTATGACAAAACAAAATTTCAAATATATTTATTATTTAGTCGTAAGCCGTAACTGAAAAAACAATCGTTTACTTTAGTTGAACGTATTATATTATTACAATATTACTTTTCTGTCGATTAATCAAAATTTCAAATTTTCGGTCGTTACAATATTGTACCTAGGTAGTACACCTACCGTGGTGAGATATTATACTATGATTTCTCGGTAATTTCCGTTTTTAAAACCTTGCAAGTAGAGTTCATGCCATCTTGTAGTTATTATTCAATTAACAGATCAAATAATATAATATGAGATCAAAAAGATCTATGTTCTCGATTGGTACTTCTTGGTAGCAACTGGTTTTACGCAATCTTAAAAAAAAACACTATAAAATAAACCAGTTGGCGTGACCAAAGCGATTAATCGTTCCATTAATTCAAAGCGTAGGACAGTAATAATTGTATTTGGAGCTGTTAGATTCGTATAAATCCTTGCAGTCAGTCTACCTACCTGTTACAATGTAGGCAACCCATTCTCGTATATAGCCGTGTAGTCGCATTTCATCTTGTTCAATGTAGCATTGAAGGGCACGTGAATAACGTTACAATGTTATTGACTGATTTATTTTTTCTAGGTGTACGTAGTAAACTATTGAATCAAATTAAATTGGTATACAGAACACTCATTTTGAGCGCGACTTGCTCTTTTAAAGATATACACTAATTATTCACGATAAATTACTTTAGAGTCGCGCCGATATCAAACATTTATACTATTGTTCATTGATTTTTACATGATATAACCAACAATTAGCTCATGGAACACACGTTTTTATTTTATTTAAACAAAACGATCGTGCGTTACGCCACGTTTTAAGAGTAACTTAGATGATGAATACGGTCCTTCGCAAGTATCTATTATTTAACGCTTAACTTAAATTCCGGCATATATACTGCCAAACGTAAATATTATACTCTATTTAAATCAACGTGTGTATTAGGTACGATCGAGTCGGCTCGGTGTCGATCGGGCCTCGATTCTCGTACCATACACAGTCTCTTCATGTTCATTAATTATTCCTCTGTTTTAAGCACTGTACGGCATTGTACAATATTATTGTATTTGTTTTTGGTTTTGATTCAATGGAAGATTATTAGAAAAGGATCGGTGTTTTGTGAAAGGTTTGGGTGTTAATTGCAGAGCTTGACAGTGTGTTTCCTTGGACTCTGCCCGCGGTAAACACACCGGACAATGACGCAAAAGGGATGTTTTTTTTTTCTGTTTAATCATCGTCGTTACTATATATGCGACTATTACTGTTGTTGTACTGCTCGCCTTTTTTTTTTTTTGTCGTTGTCGTTGACGCATAAAGAGTGTACAACGCCGGTCAACCCACCGGATATCCAGCCAGAGGCTGTGCAGAAAATCCGATTGTCAAATACACGCCCGACACAAATGTGCACGGTGCCGGGGCTGTGCTGCAATAACGCGCACGCCGCGTGTCACCGTATAATCCTGTGTTCGTGTGCGTGGCGCGAGTGTGTGCGTTTTCGTGTTAACAAATATGCGCGTTCCGATTAAGTATGTGCCACTATCAGCAGCCCATATCAGACTAAGACATGTATTACTATTGTACTGAATAGATGATGAAGATATTTAATTTTCTCGGTCCCTGGTACAATAATAATATATTAAACAATACTTAATATATTGCAGTGTTCATTCGAGTATTTACAATACTATCAGCATCATTATTATTATTATTGTTGTTATTATTATTTTTTTTTTTAACTTAAAAAGTTTACTAGGGATTTTTTTTAAATTACACGTTACATTTCTTACACACATACCTATATATTTATTATATATATTATAATAACGTATATGTATTTTTGTATAGTTAAATTAATTTTAAAAATATAACACCAAAGACATTATAATATAAAACAAACTTCGCTTCTGAAGCATCCTTCAATATTACAGATTTTACAAATATATACATGATTCATTCAAGACATGTTTTTTACTTATTTTAATTTAAAGTATCCGTACTTTAATCATTTTTCATCATCCGGCATCCACCAGTTCAGACCAAAAGAATGTGCTCGGAAAAGGTAAGTGTTTGTTTTATTATTTTTATCCATTTTAAATATACTTTATGAATATTTTACCTACTATATAAGTATGTTTTGTGACTTGCGAATAATATTAGAGTTATTTAAATAATTAAATAATTACTGTATAATTTAATATACATAAAGACAAATCAAATAATGTAAAACTGTAGTATAACTATATCTTAGAACGGTTTGATTATTGATATACCTTTATAATTTATATAGTTAAATGTTTGATAAATATTATATTGTAATATAGTCATTATATAGATAATATTTATTGTGTATGACGTAGGTACAATATAGATTCTAGATTATAGGCCAATACAAAAACCAAAATATACAAATAGAAATAAACACATTAATTTTGTTATGCGTTTAAAAGTGCAGTTTGTTTGACAACAAATAAATTATAAAATATTTTAAGTTCAGGGATAACATTGGTTTAAATGTTCCATACTCGACTTTACATAAAAGTATACACTGCTCGACTAATTGATACCATTTGATCAGAATTTAAACTTTATTTTTGTTCTTGGCAGGTATATTAATTGTTCTCACGGACGACACTGGTATTGAAAAAGAGCAGGCTTCTTATAGGCAAACGTGTCATCACTTCAAAGTTCAAAGTGTTTTACATTGCACTCTAAAAATGTTCCCTTACGAAATTGTTCATGAAGTTTCTAATAGTTTGCAATTCAATTTATTTCTAATTATAAATTTTATAAGCACAAATATTCAATACAGACATTTTAGGATTTTAAACACAACATTATTATACCTAAACTATTATACAAAATACTTAAATATTCAACATTTCTCCACTCATTTCTTTGAAAAAAAATTTCTTAAGTTCGTCAATTGTGCGCAAATTGATTGTAAAAAAGGTCTCTTTTGTATGAATGTACGATGTTGTACCTAATTAATAATATTTTGTATCTTGAAGCACAATTTATTATTTTTAAAACAAATTGAAATTAATTGTCAGTGGTGTTTATACAGGTGTATTCGAGTTTAAATATTTAATATAAACACACAAACATTTAGTTTCATATTTTTATACGCAAATATGGAAAATAGCAAAATATTTACTCAAAAAAATATTAATTTTAAATGATTTTACAATTATCTTATTTTAATCACAATCTTTTAAATCGTTTTTAACACTTGTCAGTGTTGTTAAATTGTATTCGATAAAAAATATTATACTTCAAAGTCCTAATTATTATTGGCATTGCGTTTTCAATAAAGAACACAACATAACGTACGCGTAAAACTATTTTTAAAAAAGTAAATTAAAAAACAACGTCTTTCTAAATTGACAGATTTCGATCTACCGCATTCAAAACGAAAGAGTTAAAAATCATAGTAGTTTATGGGAACTCTTTATTTTTCCTTTATCCTGATGCACAAAATAAATATAAAAACAATGTATAAAGAATGTTTATTTGAAAATTTGATGTATTTATCTCCAATGAGCGACTTTGTGAGTGACAGCACGTTTGAACATTGTTGACACATAGCCACTGCTTCTAACACGTAGATGAAAATCACGTAAAGCTATATTCTAATATAGAGACCACTGTACAGTATAGTTTCACAAATAATATAAAAGTATGGACGTCAGAACACCGCGGGTTAAGGCCATTATTATTTATTAACATTTTCGTTCCTCAAGTGATGTTGCATCATTATATTATATTATACTGTTGTCGTATATTACTGTGTAGCTAAGCACTCTGAAGTATTAATAGTGTTCTATTGTCACATTTTGCTATTGGCTAAAGCATCCATAAAAACGACTTGTAGATAATTTGAGATATCTTTTAAACATCTTTGATATGCACATACTATTTCGGAATTAAATGTAACTGGGAGACAATTTATTGCTGTTGTTAATATTCGTGTTCGTTGTTTCATTTTAACTCACAATTATAATATTAGAGTTCTGTTTAAAGTGCCTCAAAACACTTTTTTGTTTTTCCAATTACTAACAATATGTCAATGAAATGTTTTAGAAACATTCTTTTTGAGGTTAAATTATGAGCATTAATGTTTAAAAATATTGTTAGATGTGATCATACCTATTATATAGCTATCCATATGACTTTATACGCAGGTACATATATAGAATATACATTAAAATTTTTTAAAAAATTGTTTAGCGTAGTGCTCATTTACACACAGTATAGTTTGTATCTACACAAATTTCATTTCATTTTTTCATTTTTCCTAATTATTTGTGTAAATTACATGTTGTAGTTTCTTGCAAATTGTGAAATTTGAAATGTTAACACAAGTAGGTAAGTAAAACCGTGTACAAAATATCTCAAACATCTTACGATTATTAATTCATAATGATATGAACTTTTAAAATTTAATGGGGACTGAGAGTATCAATATTTCTAGAGATTTACTTTTAATAACCACCCGACATATTTTATGATAAGCTAATGATGTATATACCTACCTACCCATACACTCATTTTTATATCGTTTTAAGTTAGCGTACTAAGACGTAACGTTGTTTCAGTACAAGGCTACTCATTTCGTACCTATTTTATTATACGATATTCAATAAAATATGTTGAACATCATCTTCACTCATAAATTATTTTTACGAGCACTTAAAAACTTGAAAAACGTCCCATGAACACAATAGTGAACCGAACACCGCTCATAATCATTTCGCAATGTGAAGCATTATCATTTCTTTCAAACGCAACTCGCTGTTTGTATATAGTATATTATATATAGGTACCTATGGGCTATGCTATATAACAATAATAACAACAACAACATGCACTGTCGCGACGACTTGTGCCACGGTGAACGAATCCAGACGATACAATAGTAATATTAGGTATATATTCCTATTGCGTGGCTTGTTTCTTTTTATTGACACAACATGAACATCTGTAGCAACATTATGGCGGGTACACGCGAGTTGTATGAATCGCGCACAAAAAAAATTATTGAAAAAAGTTCATTTCTAAATATATATTTCACAAACGGTCTGAATTTACAGGAATTTTGTCCAGATAAAATTAATTTAGTGATTCTAAGGGGGCTTGCTCTCTGTATGAACAGCCTCTTATGAGAAATGTCACAATGATGGTAATACACACCTTACTCATTAGTCACTACGTATAGGTTGCACACAGTACAACGACAATAATATTACTATTCGAGTCTTGTAAAGAAGGCTAAGAATTAAGATGCATTTCTCCGAATTTTAAAAGTTTTATGATGTTTGTCCAGTACGATTTCATATAATGTGTCGATGCTTAGACACTTACTGATTTTCATTTAATTTGGATTAAGGTTATTAATTGGTACAATTATTGGTGTGTGTGCGCTCTGTGACTTTCGTAACATTCGATATTGCAGACTGCAGAAATAATCATCTACACCTCTACCCGACTACTTTGTTTAAGCTTTAAAGCTGACCCAACTACCTTAATGCTTATAATAGAAATACGTTATTTGATTTTTTAATTTTAATATAATATATATAAGAAATCGATTTTTTAGAGTTTGAAAATAAATAAATAATTTTTATTTTCATTATTTGTATTTCAAGTAAACCAAAAAACTACTATGAACTATACTAGCAGATGTTTTTAAATACAGTAAAATTATTGATTTATTAATCGTGACTAACACGATGAGAGCTGGTAAATGAACGATATAGGTAATATTATGAATTCATGTGCACAATTTTTGGACAATTTTCATTATTTTTACTAACGATTATATTATACAATGTAGATAGTGCTAGATACCTAACTATATAGTACCTTCATATAAATATATATAATATATATATATATTATGTACGTGTATCAATACATTCATTTTAAACACGTTTCATAGGGTGGGGCAGCTTTTCTCCAAAAATGAGTTACCGTTTTCCTTCACTACACATTTTCCTTAAAATAGGTACTTTTCATTTTAAGTAACACATATTTTTGGGCTGGAAAGACTTTTTTCCCCTAAATATTTAAAACATACCTATATTAATTGTTTAAATATTAAAACTATTTATTTTATTCATGCTATATTTGAAATTAAGACACAAATTATTTGATTTATATTCTATATAGATAGGTATATAAGTATAATATATAAAATTTCTAATATTCATAAAATATAGCTAATTATAAATTAACGATAATTTTTAAATTACATTTTCATTTGAAGTTATTATAGTTCTAAATTTTGATATTATTTATCAAAGAAATTTATATTTATATTTATACAAAGATATAAATTATAATTACAACAATATTTTTAACCATACATTTATAATCTAAACATTATGGTGCACCTAACATTATGACAACTATCATAAATTTGTACCGCACTGCTGCAGTTCTAGATACTCGCGAACAGTGCAAAATATATAATAATATTATGTACTTACCTATTTAAAGACTTCCTTTATCCTCGTAACGTTTGTGCGGATGTGATGGACTTTTATTACCCAACTTCACGTCTACCTACATAACATTATTTTAATATGAACAAGTTTGTTAGATAGCTGCATAAAACGCGATATTATTGATAAGGCGCGGGTCGAAAAAATACAGGGTCTTTCAGTGAAACGGGAAAATTTAAAACAAATCTCACAGAAGTATTAAAAAAAAGAAGTATTTCCAAGTTAGTAAAAAAAGTAAGTAATATGCCATTAAGTGGTGTATTAAGGCAGAAGTATTGAAACCGTGCGTCGCGGCTCCCAGGGGCGTCGCGAGAGTTGTCAAAAGGGGCCGTATAAAAGCACCGGAAACAACAATTAATGTAGATCATGTACCTATAATTATTAATATAAAATATATTAAGTGACATACACGATTGTGGAAACAATAATGAAACACATTCCCCGACTATTTGAAGTTTTATTTCTAGTACTTAAGTCACCGCTATTACGACCACCCATATTGACTACCTACCCATATTAATATTGTATCCGTTTCGTTTCAATGTGTTCATAATAATTCGGGAGCCGCAAAAATATTCTGAACACACAAATTAGTCCACGGGATGAAAAAGTTTGAATATCGCTCTGTCATACATTTCGTGTTTTTAAATGAATATCCTTGGGGCGGTGCACATTCATAAGTAGGTACCATTTTCCTGAAAACGGACGCCGACATGGTTATTCTTTGTAAAATCTCTCTGGGAATCTCCCGAAAAAGCACCTTCACGGGGAATTCGCACTTGGTGAACCAATCACAGTTGTCCATAATATGATTATTAAAAGGCGGTTGGTAATAATAATAATTATTGTGCCGAAATTAATATTACCGTACTATACTATTACGGTGCTGCCAACATTAGGGTTTTAAATTTCCCCGTTTCTCCGATTGACCCTGTATGTACAGAGTGTGTAGGTGCGTGTGTAATATTATAATGACGAAATATTGTGGAAAACGTACGTCTAGCCCGACGAAAGCTGCCGCTCTTTTTACCGGCCGACGTGAGTTGCGCACATATATATTTACACATCCCCGTTCGTTGTCGTTATATATTATTATGTGCATCGTAAAATGAGTAGGTAAGTACCTACATTTTTTTAACGATAGGTTCTGCAGACGGGCGATATTTAAACTCGCCGTTGTGGGGGGAGGGGATAAGGGGAGGCTCTACACACTCGTAAACGCATCTATATAATATATATATAGTATTATAAACATATGTGTGTGTATAAGCGCTTCTATCTCTTTTATCGCAGCATCTTAATGTACGTTTCTTTTATGTGAGCGTGTGTGTAAGTCGGCTCGTAAAGAAAACGTAATTACGCACTGTTTAGCCGACGCCGAAACGAGTGGCTGCGGTGCGTGTGCGTTGCAGCCGAATATTTTTTTTAGTTCAAAACGATATATTATTATGTTATGAACTGATAAATCAATTATTGTTGCTGAAAAACAAACTTTAATAATAAAACATAATATGTTTTGTATACATACTTTAACGGCGGCGTCAAACACCAATTGTGACGAACAGCTACAGACTACTACTATACAGTTGGTATAAATATCATTATTATACATAATATCACATATTTTTTTTTTTTAACCTTTTTTGTGTGAAGTAGGTTGTAGGTAGGTATATGCACAATTAGCTTATTTAAAAACTGTTTCAGTCGTATAGAGGTTACTATACTAATATTTTCCACAAAGTTTTTATGCAGGACGTTTTAAAAGTTATAAGAAAAAAATTATAATATAGTGAACGTATAGGTATTGACTATTGCATATAATAGTAAATATGATAGGTAGCTAATTGACTAGTAGATAAATTTTAATGAATTAAATAATCGTTATAGGTAACTTATTGAAATGATACATTTTGAACCAATATGTAAACGCTTTTATTGAATCGCCACCTCTTGAATAAACTCTAAAGTGACTCTAAGCAGGTTTTCTGTTTTTTTTTTCCAGTAATTGTTACTTTTAAGGAAACTACTCAATGTGGGTTTCAATTCAAATTGTCCATATAGTTTTATATAATCATATTATTTTTAAAAATACATATTATCACAGCATATAAATTGAATTAAAGTTAAATTCAAAAACGAAACGCATAACAATTAGCCATAGCAAAATAATATTTAATTGTATTGTTTGTTTGTTAAATATTATCCTAAAATCAAAATCAAATCAAAAAACATTAATAGAAAACTATAAAACGTCTCAGCACCACACAACGTTATATTCGAACTAGATATCACATCGACTTTCCAATTTTGAAATATGCCCATAGTAAAATTGCCATGTGGTAAAACATAAATAAAAAATATTTATAAAGTAGTAAATAAAAACGAGATATAATAAAACTATAAGTTTGTTAGGTCTTTTGTACGTGACATAAAGTAAGATTGTGAAATAATATTAAGCATAAAGTTATTGAATAAAAAAAATTGAAATGCCTAAAATAACTACATAAGAAATAATAATAATATGTAATGAGACTTAGAAATGTTCAATAAATTAAGGTGGTTGTTGATCTCGGCATAATATGATTCTTCTTCAAAATAGATTTTTGAGAAATTTACTTGCCTAATATAAGTACCCACCTATATTAAATACAAATAAAATATATAATGCATACAAATTAAAAACGCATATGCCCAAATCAGATTTATGTATTGGTACTATTATTTATAGGTTACTAAATGTATATTAATATTCCTAAATAGTAAATACTATAATATAACAATATAAAAATAGTTCAAAATAGTACAATAGTTGTTAATATTCAATAAGTTTATTAATTATTATATTTTAAGAAATAGCTTGTCAGAAATATGATTAGCTTTATAATTTATAGATAATTAAAATAGGTAGGTATAATATCGAATGTCTTTGAAATCAGTAACTATTAATATTATAATTTAGCACTGATTTCAAAATAATACATTTAATATCCACAATAATATATCATTAGAATGTAAAACATTTACAAATATATTAAATATATTTTATTATGTTTTTATTAGAGCAATGTAAGTATAATATTAAAAGCTAATAATAATAAATTATTTAGTAAATTATATTTAAATTATAAACGCTCATTACTCATTTGCATTTTATTTTGAAAATTTAAAGATTTTGAGTTGTTGTAATCTAAAACAATATTATGTTTAAAACATTTGATTTCAATATTAACAATAATATTCGCAATCATTTTAATCATACAACCCAAATTTAATGCGTATCGAGAAATTTAGTGATCTTTGATAAGCTTTAGTTGTAGATCATTTTTTAATTAAGTACTATAATATAGTTATTTAGTCAATAAAGATTAACACAATAATGCTAAGGAAAATGTAATAATTTATAGATCAGCAATGAATGTTCACCTAAATCAAAATATTTGAGACCAAGAGTGAAGCAGCCTCATCTACCACTACCTACTAGTTTCAAGTACCATCAAATACGTAAGTAGTGTTTTGTATAATTGGATAAATTATCTTATCATTATTTTGTATAATATAATATACTGCAAATTAGAAAAATTATAATTTCTTGTTATGATATTTATCGTAAAGTCACACTGTCAGGCTTCAGGTAAGGTTGCATCTACCTATGTGTACCTAACTTACCAAACCTTATTGTGTTCTATGCACCAATATTATTAAAACAGACTAGTTTTGAATTGTTTACTAGTATATTTTACTATAAGTTGATGAAGTTAATTTTTATTTCTTCCGTTGACAACATTATATTTAATCATATTTTAAAATAGAATATTAATTTTATAGTGCACTTTATGTATATTGGTATATTTAAGTGTCGAATTTTGAACCAATATACAATTTTGTATTATAAATAAATTATATAATAAGTGATTTGTAATTATAATACCTAGTTAATTAATATATTTAAAAACAGGGTTTTGAATTAAATACACATTATTGTTAAATCATTTTCTAGCGCTGTTAAAAAGTAACAATATAGCGGTATATATAGGTATCGAGGAACCTATATATAACCTTCCTTAGTAGGTATTCAATAAACTAATTTATTTATATTGAAGTAGTTTTTTGTTAAATACGATAGAAATAATTTATAACGAATAAATTAATATTTAACATCATTTTGTCGATTATTGTTTTAAATCATCGACAGAACGAATTGCTAATGAACATCATCATATGAAAATAGTTTTAAAAATACGTACATGTTTTTACTTTTTTTCTCGTAGCCCGTAGGTACACACCTACATTAATAACTTCATCAAATTTATGGAAATAATATTGTACAGCTAAAATCACGTGGGACGTGTTTGTAAATTATAATTATTCATGCACCTATATATTTTATTTATTTATTTATTAGTAAATCAATGGATTTGAGTGGTCTTTTGTGGATCAATAGCTCTTTGAAATAATGTACAGGCTATATATGGTGTGAGAGAGCCAGTAGTTCATAATTATCTGATATGATTAAGTTATATTAATAGTAAAAATATTCAAAGCATCAAAACAACAAAATTAAATCTTTGCAAATAATGTATAAAAAATCTATCATACATTTTTTTTATGATTGGGTGTATTTTTTGAAGGTTTATAGAAGTAGGATAAAGTAAAATATCATATCTAATAATGTCAATATTTTCACTTCACCAGGTCAAGAGTGTAAGTAATTGGTCTTATTTCGTTTTTCCAACGCACAGCAAATCCCTCCACTCACGTTGAAATTTATTCCTAGATGATTTCTGTAAGTTAAGGTTTTGCGCGGTAAGGTTGCTGATAACACCTGACAAGTTGAAAAATGCAAGAAAGGCTTTTTCGTTGTTAATTATGTATTTAACTTTAGAGCAGAAATTCAGTTTTTGTGATCTGTCGTGCTCCACGACCACTTCTTCCGCCATGTTGGTATCGTCGTTTGTAGATTTTTTTTAAAACTATATTACGTTTTTTGCCTTTAGTTTAGCTCATTACGAAACGAACATTATTTAATACCTATAAAAGTATAAAACAAAATCCATCATAGTAGTATACAAAATATTTTATACAACAAAATTATCTTTAAAAAAAAACCGGTAAATTGATGTCGCTATAAACAGTAGGCAGTGTTGTGCGTTATCTAGATAAAATAAGGCTCCACGCCTTTGCTTGCATTTTTCAACGTGTCAGGTGTTCTTGGCAACCTCACCACGCAAAACTTAAATTTACAGAAATCATGTGGTGTTAATTTAAACATGAGACCTAATAAGACCAATTACACTCTGGACCAGGAGGCAAAAGTTCAAGAGCTGGTCACTAACATGACAATGCGACAGTCGGTTTCATATAACATCATACAGCGTATATTCGTGATTTTCATTGGATCCTGGAGTGACAGGACATAGATAATTTAAAATCAATACATTCATCGCTCGGCTCAGAATCTAAAAGTAATAAACTTCGAAAGTGGAGTTTTAGTGTTTGACACCCCCACAAAATACTATATCGCTTTAATTCTGTCTTACGTGTATATGTCTATTAATAATATTATTAATATTATGTCCCTATCGTGTATACATCACGTGTACAATGTACGTTGTGTGTATACCAGCTAGGTAATAGTCACATATCTACCACATAGGTAAAAATTAATATCAACTAGAATTTTCTCATTTGAAGTGAGTTGAAGTATAATAATAATATATCTACCACAATTTATTATAGTAGAGATTTAAATTAATAATTTGTGAAATATTTCATAGGTATACCGCATACTTTTATACAATAGTTTATTATTATCATATAGAGGTACATGGTATTATTTCAGTAGTTGTACAGTAGTCGCCGCTTACTGAGCTCTTGGTTTCTTAAACAGAATATTTTTCTGGAAATTTCAATGTAATAATTATTAAAATAAAATTTAGAACGAGTTTTTAATTGGTTATAATATTTAAGCTTTAAAGTTTGAATGAACAGTGTAATGGACAAACGTTTTCGGTATTTTGTGTTACTTCAATCCGCTCATCTGAAAATTTAAATTTAATTTATATTTATACAAATAGAGCTTCGTCGAATCAAAGGAAATGGCTTCTTTTAAATGTATTTTATATCACAGCGTACTGGTTATAATTTAATACAATTTAATGCTGACACATTATTTTTTTAGTACTAACAGCTTAGTAACCTATACATATTTAATTATTTGACAAAATAATTAGGAAATGTAAAAATGCATTAAGCTTTTAAAATTATAGTTTTTGATATTTTCAATGGAGACTTATTGAGAACCATTACCGGTGTTATCGTATTACCTTTTCGAAACCATTTCCATTGTACAGTTTTTCTAAGCCAATTCGTTCAGATTCTACATTTTCTTCCTGATGAACGAGATTACACGATGTAGACTATTTGACCGTCGTTATTTTATCTGTTTATGTTTACCAGGAATTTTCTCTTCATACAAGTACTATAATATATAATTGTGACGGGAATTGGAAACTATGACTATGGTATGGGGTAAAAAGGGAAAACATTTTAGAAATTTAATATCCCCCCTATTTAAAAAGTTAGTTTAATGTATTATTAGAACTATAAATATTTTGGTATAGTAAAAACCGTTGACAACTATATGAATAGGAAGCCTTATAAAAATACATTATACAAATCTTTATTATATTTCTTAGAAATATTCTCCAAAACAATGTGATCCTTTTTTTAATCGAAACATACTCGATACTAACCACTATTCTTTCGAAGCGAAACACGTGGGCGCTAGTACATTATGCAGGATTAATTAGGCAATAAGACTTTTATCAAAAATTTGATGAGAATTTGTTAGATTTTCATAGAGCATTTTCAGAATTTTTTAGGTTCCCTAGACATTGCAAATCAACATACAAACATGCCCGTGCCTCTAAAGTAAATTTGGACACACCCACCAGTACTATGAAAAACCAAAAAGAAATTACCTATACAACAATTTTCACATACTTTAGGTGCAGCAGTGTATCACAGAAGGTTACTGTTACATTTGTACCCATTCAATATTTTTTTTTAAATACATAAATACTGACTAGTTAGAGTATTTGGAGCACAACCAACAAAAACTACATAACTTTTGGAGTATATCAAAATAACTATAGCCAAACATAATAAAAATCCGTACTCAAATAATAATATAGTTATATGACTTTTATTTACTATCTGTTATTAAAAACACGTTATTTTTTCAAATGGTTATCATGTTATCATAATTTTGGTAAAGAACCATCAATTGTTTTACTTTGGGCAAACTTTTAAATTTATTTGAGATTTTTAAATTGGTTATTGAACAACGTATTGCTCATGTTAGAACTGTATCATGTTTCAATTATTGTACCCGGTTTCTCCACAGAACAATACTAATATTCAATTTACAATTTAGATTCGTATTTATTAATTATTAGCCATTCTGAAGCACACATAACATTTTTTGAGGAACGGCTTCTTTTATAAAATTTTTATTGACATAAACTATTATTAGAGGAATTTACCAACCCCCTAGATTCTGCTAATCTCCTCAAATTTTTATCTAAAATGCTTTTTATAATGTTACAAAAATTATAAATTTTTTTTGGTTTCTACCAGGATTACATAACACTCAATAATATTTTTAAATTTTTATTTAAAATAGAGATATTTATAATTATTACTAGCTGTATTATCCAACTTGGTCCGTGAAAATGAACACTTAAATAAAATACGACGCTCGACCACACGAGTAAGATGAAACCTGTGTTCTCAATTTTGCTACTTAATTGAGTACATAAAGCAACTGTTTTCACCAAATTGTTTATATTTGGCAATAAAATGTATTAGTTACTATACAGTAAGACACGTGAAATAATGTCGTTTCGATCTTGGGGTTTCAAACTAATATTAATCAAAATGATTTTTCTTTTTTACCAATTCCAATTAAAAATTATCCCTTAATTTAATTTGATTTCATTTGATAAAATTAAGCCAACGAGTTTTAATTTTTGTAAATAAATATAAGTAAAGTAATGGAAAATTTTGAAAACTTAGTTAAATTTAATATACTAGCTTATATACATTTCATGTATAATTTATATTAATTATAATTTTTAATAGACATTTAGACAGACAGGCAGACAGACGGATAGACTGTAATAATTATTTGTAAATTATGTAAATTAATTAAAAATTACTCTATTCATGTTACCTCTTGGCTCTTAGTTCTTATCTATATATTTTAAACACTTTATGTAAATTGTTGAAGTATTTTAATATATAGGTATAAAATCTATACTATAATTGAATAATACAAGTAATATGTTGTAGTGCACCAAGTAGTTTTAGTTACTAGATATAGTTAAGCCACTGCCTATCCGACATTAGTTATGTTATTTGTATTAACATTTTAAATTAATAGGTACGAGATAACCAACTATGAAAGAATTGGACAGGTTCTTATAACAGTAGGTAGTGGA